TTTGCTATTTTTCCATTTCCAGAAATGGAAAAATGAGCAGCACAGGTTGGAGGAGGTGGTGAGTATCTAAACACCTGGTGAAAGACACCGGGCAAAGATGTGTGGAACATCTGGCACATCTGGTCTGAAAGAGTTTCCTCTGAAACTTTATCAAGTTCAGTAAACGTCTTCTTTTCTTCCGGCTGCGGGAATATTAAAGGTCAGGACTGTCGGCTCTCATTTAAATTCAGTTTGTTTACAGACGAAACAAAATGAAGCGCATTCTCAAAGAACAGCTGACTGAGCTGGAGTTAAAGCGAAACGCAGCTTTATAATAGAGACATCAGGTTTGTTATAATAGATGTCACCATGTGTCACGGTTTCATTTTCAATTCATCTGTGAGACATTACTGCTCGGAGGCTCTGGGGAGGCGGATAGCTCTCCTCATCTCTCGTCAGCGTGGAGGTGTGAAGTGGCTCTGACTCCCAGTGTGTCATCAGCGTGACACCAGGGCTCAGTCCCATCTACTGCCTATTAGCAGAGAGAGAGCTCGGCCAATCAAACGGCGTTTGAGACTTCCTGTATTCATGAGTGGAGCCAGCGCGCCGTCTGATTACTTATGTTGAAGAAAATTCACCCAAGTCCTTAGTTTCAAGTTTGCTGTAGTGATGCAAGTTTATTGGTATCCCAGGATACAGTGAGCCAACTGACACAGAGCAGATGTGAGGCAGTAGACTGACCCAGAGTGAAGGGCGGGGGGACAGTTATACAGTGAAAGACAAAGGGATGGACAACTGTATTTGCATATACCTGGGGTTACAGACATTTGGTCAGACAGGAAAGGAAATTAGAAACAAAAAGTAATGTTCTCTAGAGGTCTTGCAGTGTAACACCTAGATTCAAGTGATCAAGGGGGTAGGAGGGGCTCTTAGGCTGGATCAGCATATCCATAGGTTAACAAAACAAAACAAAAATTCGATCGAGTGGTATAAAGAAAAAGTGACAAAACTACGTGAGATAATTATCAAATGAAAATGTAATAAAGAAAAACAAAATCAATCGAGAAGCAAAACCAAAAGTGAGATAATTATCATCATATAAAATGTAATAGAGAAAAAACAAACAAAACAAAAGGTAGGATCTAAGCGTAACTAGTCAATCAATTTCAATTTTGAATAAAATCTGAACTGTCCTCTTTGTTTGGAGGGGCAGGGTGAGTTGTGGTGGACTACATGATTTTAGAAGTGCTTTTTGATATGAGTGATCCGAAGATGGACTTAAAACAGGTGAACAGGAGACTAAAGAAAACAAGATTCCAAAACCCAAGTACAAATTCAAAAATCAAATAACCTAATGTCTCAACTTTTACTTTGAACCGGTCAAACAAGCTAGTGGTGGCTGGACCATGTCATAGTTTGGCAATAATTTTTATGTGGTTAGTTATTTCTTGTATAGCATTGTTATTTGGTATGACCGTACAACATTCAGTCCCGATGATAGCACAGGTTCCTCCTTCTGAGGCCAGGAGGTAATCTAGTGCGGCACGATTCTGTAAAGTCATCATTCTTATGGCAGTCATTTCCTGTGTGAATAGAGACATGCCTCTTGCAGTAGAGTTTGCAAGATCTTCAACAGCATGGGAGAGGTCTCTTATTTGGTCCAATGTTGCCATAACTTCGTAAATTGCATAGGTGGAGTTGTAGTGTCACAGAAGCTGATGGGTGAAGCCATCAATGGGAGTCCTTCAGTTGTACTGTGTGGGATGAATCCACACACATAACAGTTGTTAGGATTTGGGCTATTGTCAGCTACCATTTTTGCCAATTGAAGATATGTGTTTGTTTGGGACTTTGGGGCATATGGGCAGTAGTTGGTTCTCTGTCGTGGTGTTCTGGTTGGTCTCTTTTCTGAAGTCTGTAGGTTTCTCTGTTTAATCCGTTTGGGCGTGCTCCAGGTGGCTGGAGATGTACATCGTTTTCTGGGGCTCCGGTGTCAGCGTTGTCCTTCAGCAAGAGGGGTCCTTTTTATGATCCTGACGGTGATGAGGGAGAATGTCCACAGGATGAGGAGGGTTCTTGTTGGTTTCTGGTGCACGGTAAATCCAGGTGGGACGGCCCTCACACTTGACTGCTGTGTTGGTGGTGAGCAGGACGTGTTGCAGCTTGGACCATCTGGGTTTCTGGGCATTCTTCGGCCTCTCTGATGCAGAACCAGTCCTCAGGTTGGATGTTGTAACAAGGTTCGTCGCTAGGAGGAGACTGGACAGCTTCTACTTGTCTGTGGATTTACTCAGCAACAGCAGTTAGAACACAGCAAAATTCTCATGTAGATGGCGTAGATCTTGACGCATTGCAGTCTTTCAACAATTGTTGACGCAGAGACATATTTACATCCATGAGAAAGCCAAAACCTATGATCCTTCACATCAGCAGCTTCTTGCAAAAAGAACCACGTCATTAGGGGAAACAAGGTTGTTAGCGGGTGTGGGAGAATAGAAGTTTAGAACTTTGACAGTAGTTTGGCCGCATGGTCGGCCAAACACCTTTTGCCCACAGTGTACAAAATCATCCAAATCGTCTGTAGTCTTTGTAAAATGTAATACATACCTTAGGCTGGGTGACAAGCCTTCGTCAGTACAAATAACTCAGCTACTTGGGCGGAGCTTGAGGATGGCAGGGCGACACATTCAATAATTATCACAATCAGCACAAATTACATACCCTGCCTATGGCACTCCATTTTCTCTAAGTCATCAGTGTAGGTACTAGAGTTTGGAAGGAAGAATTAATTAATCAATTAATTAAATTTCTTGTCAAATTTTCTTTGAGTGAACTTACAGAGTACTCGCCTTTGAAACACTTAAGTATTCAAACGTACTTTCACTTTATGTCAACACATTGTTGTATTGTTACAGGGTATTGACAGAACCTATTGGCTCTGATGCGGCTGACTGAATGTCTTGATTCACTGTAGAATCTGTAGAATAAAGTTTGTAGAATGTGATACAAAGACTGTAGAAATGGCTATAAAACAACTTATTCAACAAAAGGACAGCCATATCTGGAATTAGACAAACACCTGATACCTCGACATGCTTTCTAGAGTTGGACGGCAAATTTGTAGGTAGTGAAGTATTTTGTGTTAAACGCTGCAAACATTTAAAAGCTAATGGAATCTTAATTTAATTTAAATTCCAAATGGACTTGAAGCATCTTCTGCCTCATCTTTATCTGACATAGCCATCGTTAGGACAGTGCCACGTTCAAACTGAGCTGGTCAAACATGCAGCAACACAACATGACTGACAGTGTAGAAGTTTAACTGTGATTGCTTTGTTTTGTTTTGTTAGTTTGATGCAATTAACACATTGTATGATCTATCACACTTTAGAAAACAAAAGACGAGTTATTCTTTGACTAAAAGCTCTACTTCAAAGTAAGAGTACTTCATAAAGATGTAGTAGAGTCAAAGGTACACTATTTGTCTTTTAAGTGTAGTGGAGTAAAAGTCAGAAGTTTCTGAAACAATAATGTTTAAGTAAAGATACTGGAAAATATACTTAAGTACAGTACTGAAATACATGTACTTTGTTACTGTCCCCCACTACGTGGTACCATGACTCTGAGAAGTGGAGCTTACGACATCAGATTGTAAGTGCAAGTGTAGTTCCAATTAGCTTACAAGGTAGAGGTTCTGTTTCTACTGGTTCAGGTCTGGAGGAAATATAAGTAACAGGTTTGTAAGATGAGTTAGTTGTATCAGTGGGTGTGAATAGATTATGCCAATTTCCATGAAAGATTGGTTATGGGGAATTGAGCATCAACAGAGTCTGTGCTCGAGAGCTCAGGAAGCACCGATGTCTCCTGTGTCGCAGGTTTGTCGACTCAGTCCTCGACACACTGAGGAAATGTCTAACATTAATATCGGTGCTTTAAAAAGGTTTTATATTTTTTTAACCCATTTACTGCAAATATCCAGTGGTGGAAAGTAACTAAGTACATTTACTCAAACTTGTACTTTCCTGATTTATTCTTATTTATACGTCTGCTCCGCTGCGAGCTTGTCTATTAGAAGTTAATTTATACAGTGAACATAAAATCATAAAACCAGTGTCTAGTTTTGGGTAAATTTAACCAACATTTGACAAAGAATTAAAACGAATCCAAATGTATTCATCAGAACTTTGTCTTTTCTTCTTCGCTCCTCCTTTAATCGTCTCACAACCGCTCACATTTCTCTCGTGACCCTTTTGGAGGGGCCCGACCCAAGGTTGGGAACTAAACCAAATGACCATATGTAAAGTAATTACATCAGAAACATCAGTATTAACAATCTCATACACTGTACAATGATAAATCAGTCATGTTTTACTGAAGTATTTTTGATACTTTAAGTACATTTTACTGATAATACCGTTGTATTTTTACTTCCTTATTTTTAATGGAGTGGAGTCTTTTTACATTGTTGTACTGTGAAGCCCTCCATCTCCCCCACCGCCACCGTCTTTGGTTTGTTTCTGTTGGTAGAAGTGAAACTGTCGGTTCCAGGCAGCACAAACTCCTTTGATTTAAAACTGTGTTTGCAGATTCTTGAAACTTGTTTGTGTTTTCAGCCGAGTGAGATTTCTACCCGCAAATCAGTTGTAGGAAATATTATAGGACACAAAACAGAGGCTCAAATCTTCAATTTCTTTATTTATTTCATTTGAAGGAGCAAAATTCACAGTTCATGTGTTTTGCTACCAAATCAGTTGTTGCTCTCCCGCCCTGAATCTGTCCAGAAACGACACACATCAGATGGATCTTTAATGATCAAATATTGTCTATGAATAAACTAATAATAAAAAATAGTGATAGATGTACTGATAAGATTAAATAAAGTGGCAATAATTTTTGTAAAAAACTGCGTCACAGTCAGAGAGCAGCTGGTGAACATGGTGAAGCATTTAGCTGCTAAAGACACAGACGTTTCCTTCAAATCAACATAAAAGCTAAAAGTGAGTTTCTCTCTCCTCCTTTAGTCCTCGACTGGAGGATGACGGATCCTAACCACCCCATGAACGCTCTGATGCGTCTGAACCAGATCCACCCGGGTCTTCAGTACCGCCTGCTGTCCCAGTCCGGCCCGGTCCACGCTCCGGTCTTCACCATGTCCGTGGAGATCCAGGGAACCACGTACCAGGCCACCGGGAACTCCAAGAGGACCGCCAAGCTCCAAGTAGCCCTCAAGGTATTTACAGAGTTTAAAGAATTTAAAGAATCAGTGAAATCTGACACAGTTCTGACTGACATCATTTCATCTTTTCTTCATCAGTATAAAACTGTATTAAAAAAAAAAAAAAGTAGATTTCATGACGTTCTGAGATGAGAACTGAAGTGCAGAACGTCTTCGTAACAAATACAAAGAAGGAGAGAAACAAAACGAGAGTGTCACATCCACGCTCTCACACTCCTCCATCATTCATACACTCATCCTGTTGTAAGTCCCTGCAGACACACAGGTGAAAACACCGTGGAGACACGTGATTGGATGATGCTCCTGAGTAAATATGACATGTTTTTTTTAATTTTTTTTATTTAAAATTCAAGCACAAACTTTAAAGGCACAAATCAATTAAACATTTTCTGCATACAGTATTAAAGAGAAGGAAAACAAGAGCAGACTCAACCATGAGACGTGAGCTGGGAGGGAGGGTTTTAATCAAACGGCATAAACACGTCTAATAAATGAAAGTTTTATTCCTGTCCTTCATACATTGAAGAGATATTTCAAATAGATTTAATTCATTCTTCCAGATGTTCATTTGGAGCTCATGAATAACATCAGAAAAATGAAATAAAATGATTTAGCAGAAAATCCAAGTAGTTCTCTTTCATTCACGCTCGAGCTTTAACAGACGCAGAACTCCTGCTCAGATTCACACCGGAGGGAAAGATGTTGTTCAGGATCCACTGGAGGATTTATCCTGATTAAATCTTTTATGCAGAAAGTTGCTGCTGGATCGATTCAGGATTTTAAAGCTTTGACTTTAGCTGAGACAAATATTTTCTCTGCTCCTTCGTCCCTGTGCTCTCATACAACATTTCTTTTCAGCTGATTCGGTTCATATTCTGTTGACAAAACATCTCTAATAAACTCGTTACGTTCAAACCTTCAATACCGAGACGCCTCATAACTAAAACAATACTAGACTGCACCAGAAACTAATGAATAAGTTCAATGGGGAATTGGGTTTTATTACTTTATTATGTTCTCTAAATGAACAGATTAAATTGATCACACAAATCTCCTCAGTGTAATAAGTTTCCAAACTAACTTCCAGCCCATTATTAGTAAAGCTAAAACAATTAGTCAGTTAGTTGTTCAATGACTTTTTAAAATATTCGATTGATAATTTCAGTCATTTGTCTCTTTGTGTTTTTGACTGTTGATCAGACAAACTGATTGTTGTGAGTGGTTTATTACTTTTTGTCCAAAACCACTGATCACAAAAATAATCAGCAGATTAATCAATAATGATAATAATGGTTCGTCACAGCCTCACATCCACGTTATGCTAACAGGTCTCAGACTCTGACTTCTGCTGTAGTTTGTCACGTTTAGAGACGTGAAATGAACAGAACATTTTCTTTTTGTGACAAAGATTTTATTGAAGTCCGACTGCTCACACTGTCTCTGTTTCACACACATTTTTTCCTTCAGTTACACGTTCACACTCCCAGTACAGCCAGTCTTTGTGCTGTTGATGGTGTTGATGGTGTTGATGGTGTTGATGGTGTTGATGACCACTTCACTGCCTCACTACAGCAGCAGTGAGGTGGTCGACTGCCTTGCTCATGGACTGCTGAGTCACACATGATGACTTTTCTAATCAGATGAATGTTCAAATCTTTATTGTAAGGTAATGAAACGTGTGTGTGTGTGTGTGTGTGTGTGTGTGTGGTCTCAGGCGCTGCAGGCTCTGGGCTACGTGCTCAGCAGCGACGGAGACGTGGACTCTCTGAGCGCTGACGAGAAGTCAGATGGCGAAGGCAAGAACGACAGGATGTCGACCAGCTCCAGCTCCACCTCCATCACCTCCTCCACAGACGCACAGGAGGTGGGGAACACACACACACACACAGACACACACAGGGATTATTAACAAGTACACATGAGGTTGAGACTGATGCACAGACGGACAGTGGCTACAAACCTGTGAAGTGATGGAGATTCCTCACTATTCACAGCAGCACTTAAACACATCAGTGAGGTCAATTATGAAAGTGTCATCCTGCCAAAAACAACCTGGACCCTGAACTGAAGTCATCTGGGAAAATATTTGATGACATTTGGCTCGTTCCCACAGAAGTTTAATGGACTGATTATAAGTTGCTATCAGCCAAGTTCATGTAATGTCATGGAGGAGGGGTTTTAGAAACCTTTGAATGGGGGGGGGGCGAACCGGGCAACAATCAATGCATATTAGTTAGGAGTTATTGTACATGAGATAGAGGAAAACTTGAACCTGTTGCACCTCATATCTGTGACCAGAGGACGTGAGACCCGTGTGTCTGATTCTCTGTCCGTCTGCAGTCCAGAGCTCCAGGTCCGATCCTGACGGCGGGAGGTAAAAACCCGGTGATGGAGCTGAATGAGAAACGCCGCGGCCTCAAATACGAGCTGATATCAGAGAGCGGCAACAGCTACGACAAACGCTTTATCATAGAGGTACGAGAGCACGCACGTACATGCACACACTCACTATTGCGTTTCATAGATTTCCTGTCTTCCTTTCAGAAGGTCTTATTAGAAATTGATGAGGGAAGGAGCTTGTTTGATGTTTGGCTCCTCTGCGCTTCCTGCATTTCAAAAGTCTTTACACTTCTTATGAATGCCAGAGAAGACGCCGAACATGAAACAAATTTCATCCAATAAAATCAGCCTGAATCACTGAAGTTTATTTGGTTTTTACAGCTGAATTTTATTGTGGTGTCATGAACTGAGCTGCTAGTTTTCTGTCATAATCACTCAATGTGTGGCAGAAAATTTCTTTACAATAACACGAGCTGGAAACACACAAATCTTTATATGTAAAAATATTTGACCATCAAATGTTTAGTATTTTTTTTTAATAACTCATTTACACAAAATTTCAAATCAATAATGTTCTGTTGAACTTCCAAACGTTTTATGACATAATTCAACTACACAGCATTAGCCTGATAACACGAATCTAACATCCTGAGTGACAAAACATTGTGTAATCTGATCCTGACATATGCTCTACTGAGAAACAGAAACAAACATGTCTTATAGCCCCTGAATCCTCAGTGAGAACACGTCATATCTTTGTGTGGTGTGACAGGTGGAGGTGGACAAGCAGGTTTTCCGGGGGACGGGTCCCAATAAGAAAGTAGCCAAAGCCAGCGCCGCGCTGGCTGCCCTGAACAGCCTGTTCTCCGGCTCCAAGTCAACGACCAACAAGAAGAAACGGCCCAACCCTCCAGTGAGTGAATTAAACTGCTCCTGTAGTCAGCCTTAAGTGATCCATCATGTACAGTTGCTGATGTGTATTGAATTGAATTGAATTGAAGGCCTTTATTGTCATTGTAAGCTCTGCATACAATTAAATTTAGAGCACTGCTCCTTAATTGGTACATGTGAATAAATCAACACAATAATACACAAAATAATTACAAAATTAAGATGAATCAAGGGCATAGGTTTGCTTATGGACATGTCCCTACCAATATTTTGGGAGGACATGTTTAATGCCTAAGTATACTAAGACATTTTTATGACATTTTTCATGCCTTACTATACTATGACGTTTTAAATACATTTTTAATACCTTACTATACTATGATATTTTTATGACATTTTTCATGCCTTATTATAGACATATTTATGACATTTTTAATGCCTTACTATACTATGACATTTTTGATGCTTTACTATATTATGACGTTTATATGTTTAATGCCTTACTATATTATGACATTTATATGTTTAATGCCTTACTATATTATGACATTTTTATGACATTTTTAATGCCATACTATACTATGACATTTTTGATACCTTACTATACTTTGACATTTTTATGGAATTTTTCATGCTTTATTATACTCTGACATGTTTATGACATTTTTGATGCCTTACTATACTATGACATTTTTATGACATTTTTCATGCCTTACTGTACTTTGACAGTTTTATGACATTTTTGCTGGCTTGCTATAATATGACAGTTTTATGACATTTTTCATGCCTTACTGTACTATGACGTTTTTATGACGTTTTTAATGCTTATTATAGATATATTAATTACATTTTCATTCCTTACTATACTATGACATTTTTAATGCCTTACTATATTATGACGTTTTTATAACATTTTTAATGCCTTACTGTACTGTGACAGTTTTATGACATTTTTGATGGCTTGCTATACTATGAAATTTTTACATTTTTCATGCCTTACTATACTATGACATTTTTATGACATTTTTCATGCTTTATTATAGACATATTTATTACATTTTTCATGCCTTACTATACTATGACATTTTTATGACATTTTTCATGCTTTATTATAGACGTTTTTATGACATTTTTCATTCCTTACTATACTATGATGTTTTTATGACATTTTTTAATGCCTTACCGTGCTATGACAGTTTTATGACATTTTTCATGCTTTATTATAGACATATTTATTACATTTTTCATGCCTTACTATACTATGACATTTTTATGACATTTTTCATGCTTTATTATCGACGTTTTTATGACATTTTTCATTCCTTACTATACTATGATGTTTTTATGACATTTTTAATGCCTTACTGTACTATGACAGTTTTATGACATTTTTGACGGCTTACTATACTATGAAATTTTTACATTTTTCATGCCTTACTATACTATGACATTTTTCATACTTTGCTATACTATGTTGTTTTCATGACATTTTTAATGCCTTACTCTACTATGACGTTTTTAAGACATTTTTGATGCCTTACTATACTATGACATTTTTGTGACGTTTTTGATGCCTTACTATACTATGACGTTTATATGACATTTTTCATGCCTTACTATACTGTGATGTTTTTATGTTTAATGCCTTACTATACTATGACATTTTTCATGCTTTACTGTACTATGACGTTTTTATGACATTTTTGATACCTTACTATACTATGACATTTTTCATGCCTTACTATACTATGAAGTGTTTATGACATTTTTGATGCCTTACTACAATATGACGTTATTATGACATTTTATTGCCTTACTATACTATGACATTTTTGATACCTTACTATACTTTGGCATTGTTATTACATTTTTTATGCTTTATTATAGACATATTCATGACATTTTTGATGCCTCACCATACTTTGGCATTTTTAATGCCTGATTCTACTATGACATTTTTGATGCATTACTATACAATGACATTTTTATGACATTTTTCATTCCTTATTATATACATATTTATTACATTTTTCATGTCTTACTATACTATGACATTTTTAATGCCTTACTATACTATGACATTTTATGACATTTTTCATGCTTTACTGTACTATGACAGATTTATGACATTTTTGATGGCTTGCTATACTATGACATTTCTATGACATTTTTGATACCTTACTATACTATGACATTTTTGATGCCTTACTATACTATGACGTTTTCGTGACATTTTTGATGGCTTACTATACTAAGACGTTTGACATTTTTCATTCCTTACTGTACTATGACAGATTTATGACATTTTTGATGGCTTGCTATACTTTGACATTTTTATGACATTTTTCATGACTTACTATACTATGACATTTTTATGACATTTTTGATGCCTTACTATAATATGACGTTATTATGACATTTTAATGCCCTACTATACTATGACATTTTTGATGTCTTACTTTACTATGACGTTTTTATGACATTTTTGATACCTTACTATACTTTGACATTTTTATGAAATTTTCATGACTTACTATACTATGACGTTTTTATGACATTTTTAATGCTTATTATAGATTTATGACATTGTCATTCCTTACTATACTATGACATTTTTCATGCTTTATTATAGACATATTCATGACATTTTTGATGCCTCACCATACTTTGGCATTTTTAATGCCTAACTATACTATGTAATTTTGATGACATTTTAAATGTCTTACTATACTATGACATGTTTGACATTTTGATACCTTACTGTACTCTGACATTTTTATGACATTTTTCATGCTTTTCTATGCTATGACATTTTATATGCCTGACTCTACTATGACATTTTTCATGCCTTACTATATTATGACATTTTTATGACATTTTTGATGCATTACTATACAATGACATTTTTATGACATTTTTCATGCCTTATTATATACATATGTATTACATTTTTCATGTCTTACTACACTATGAAATTTTTAATGCTTTACTATACTATGACATTTTTTTGACATTTTTAATGCCTTACTATACTATGACGTTTTATGACATTTTAATGCCTTACTACACTATGAAGTGTTTATGACATTTTTCATGCCTTATTATATACATGTCTTACTATACTATGAAATTTTTAATGCTTTACTATACTATGACATTTTTTTGACATTTTTAATGCCTTACTATACTATGACGTTTTATGACATTTTAATGCCTTACTACACTATGAAGTGTTTATGACATTTTTCATGCCTTACTACAATATGACGTTATTATGACATTTTATTGCCCTTTCATGCCTTATTATAGACATATTTATTACATTTTTCATGCTTTACTATACTATGACATTTTTCATGCCTTACTATACTATGACATTTTTATGATATTTTTCATGCCTTACTATACTGTGACGTATGACTTTTTTTTTTCCTTACGGTACTATGACAGATTTATGACATTTTTGATGGCTTGCTATACTATGACGTTTTATGACATTTTTCATGCCTTACTATACTATGACATTTTTAATGCCTTACAATACTATGACATTTTTATGGCATTTTTCATGCTTTACTATACTATGACGTTTTTATGACATTTTTAATGCCTTACTGTATTATGACGTTTTTATAGTGTTTTTAATGCCTTACTATACTATATTTTTGATGCCTTACTATACTATGACAGTTTTATGACATTTTTGATGGCTTGCTATACTATGACATTTTTAATGCCTTACTATACTATGACATTTTTGATGTCTTATTTTACTATGACGTTTTTATGACATTTTTATGCTTTATTATAGACATATTCATGACATTTTTGATGCCTCACTATACTATGACATTTTTATGACATTTTTCATGCCTTATTATATACATATCTATTACATTTTTCATGTCTTACTATATTATGAAATTTTTATGACATTTTTCATACCTAACTATACTATGACGTTTTTATGACATTTTTCAAGCCTTACTGTACTATAAAAACTATAAAATATACTATGACTTTTGTTTACGTTTTATGCCATACTATACATACAGGTTTTTTGGCATTTTTATGCCTTACTATACTGTCTTGTTTGATGCCTGACCATACTATAATATTTTTATGACCTTTAATGCCTTAATATACTATGATGTTTTTTTGACGTTTTATGCCATACTATACCATGACGTTTTTGGCATTTTTCTGCCATACTATACTTGGATGTTTTTTGGCATTTTTATGCCTTACTATACTGTCTTGTTTGATGCCTGACCATACTATAATATTTTTATGACCTTTAATGCCTTAATATACTATGATGTTTTTTTGACATTTTATGCCATACTATACTATAACGTTTTCTGCATTTTTCTGCCATACTATAATTAGATGTTTTTTGGCATTTTTATGCCTCATTATATCATTTCGTCTCATACCTGGCCATACTATGACGTTTTTATGACTTTTTATGCCTTAATATACTAGGATGTTTTTTTGACATTTTATGCCATACTATACTATAACGTTTTCTGCATTTTTCTGCCATACTATACTTCGATATTTTTTGGTATTTTTATGCCTTACTATACTGTCTTGTTTGATGCCTGACCATACTATGACGTTTTTATGACTTTTTATGCCTTAATATACTAGGATGTTTTTTTGACATTTTATGCCATACTATACTATAACGTTTTCTGCATTTTTCTGCCATACTATACTTCGATATTTTTTGGTATTTTTATGCCTTACTATACTGTCTTGTTTGATGCCTGACCATACTATGACGTTTTTATGACTTTTTATGCCTTAATATACTAGGATGTTTTTTTGACATTTTATGCCATACTATACTATAACGTTTTCTGCATTTTTCTGCCATACTATACTTCGATATTTTTTGGTATTTTTATGCCTTACTATACTGTCTTGTTTGATGCCTGACCATACTATGACGTTTTTATGACTTTTTATGCCTTAATATACTAGGATGTTTTTTTGACATTTTATGCCATACTATACTATAACGTTTTCTGCATTTTTCTGCCATACTATACTTCGATATTTTTTGGTATTTTTATGCCTTACTATACTGTCTTGTTTGATGCCTGACCATACTATGACGTTTTTATGACTTTTTATGCCTTAATATACTAGGATGTTTTTTTGACATTTTATGCCATACTATACTATAACGTTTTCTGCATTTTTCTGCCATACTATACTTCGATATTTTTTGGTATTTTTATGCCTTACTATACTGTCTTGTTTGATGCCTGACCATACTATGACGTTTTTATGACTTTTTATGCCTTAATATACTAGGATGTTTTTTTGACATTTTATGCCATACTATACTATAACGTTTTCTGCATTTTTCTGCCATACTATACTTCGATATTTTTTGGTATTTTTATGCCTTACTATACTGTCTTGTTTGATGCCTGACCATACTATGACGTTTTTATGACTTTTTATGCCTTAATATACTAGGATGTTTTTTTGACATTTTATGCCATACTATACTATAACGTTTTCTGCATTTTTCTGCCATACTATACTTCGATATTTTTTGGTATTTTTATGCCTTACTATACTGTCTTGTTTGATGCCTGACCATACTATGACGTTTTTATGACTTTTTATGCCTTAATATACTAGGATGTTTTTTTGACATTTTATGCCATACTATACTATAACGTTTTCTGCATTTTTCTGCCATACTATACTTCGATATTTTTTGGTATTTTTATGCCTTACTATACTGTCTTGTTTGATGCCTGACCATACTATGACGTTTTTATGACTTTTTATGCCTTAATATACTAGGATGTTTTTTTGACATTTTATGCCATACTATACTATAACGTTTTCTGCATTTTTCTGCCATACTATACTTCGATATTTTTTGGTATTTTTATGCCTTACTATACTGTCTTGTTTGATGCCTGACCATACTATGACGTTTTTATGACTTTTTATGCCTTAATATACTAGGATGTTTTTTTGACATTTTATGCCATACTATACTATAACGTTTTCTGCATTTTTCTGCCATACTATACTTCGATATTTTTTGGTATTTTTATGCCTTACTATACTGTCTTGTTTGATGCCTGACCATACTATGACGTTTTTATGACTTTTTATGCCTTAATATACTAGGATGTTTTTTTGACATTTTATGCCATACTATACTATAACGTTTTCTGCATTTTTCTGCCATACTATACTTCGATATTTTTTGGTATTTTTATGCCTTACTATACTGTCTTGTTTGATGCCTGACCATACTATGACGTTTTTATGACTTTTTATGCCTTAATATACTAGGATGTTTTTTTGACATTTTATGCCATACTATACTATAACGTTTTCTGCATTTTTCTGCCATACTATACTTCGATATTTTTTGGTATTTTTATGCCTTACTATACTGTCTTGTTTGATGCCTGACCATACTATGACGTTTTTATGACTTTTTATGCCTTAATATACTAGGATGTTTTTTTGACATTTTATGCCATACTATACTATAACGTTTTCTGCATTTTTCTGCCATACTATACTTCGATATTTTTTGGTATTTTTATGCCTTACTATACTGTCTTGTTTGATGCCTGACCATACTATGACGTTTTTATGACTTTTTATGCCTTAATATACTAGGATGTTTTTTTGACATTTTATGCCATACTATACTATAACGTTTTCTGCATTTTTCTGCCATACTATACTTCGATATTTTTTGGTATTTTTATGCCTTACTATACTGTCTTGTTTGATGCCTGACCATACTATGACGTTTTTATGACTTTTTATGCCTTAATATACTAGGATGTTTTTTTGACATTTTATGCCATACTATACTGTGACGTTTTTTGGCAATTTTGTACCATACTATACTATGACGTTTTTGGCATTTTTCTGCCATACTATACTTCGATATTTTTTGGCAATTTTGTACCATACTGTACTTAGATTTTTTTTGGCCTTTTTATGCCTTACTATACTGTCTTGTTTGATGCGTGACCATACTATGACGTTTTTATGACTTTTTATGCCTTAATAGTCTATGATGTTTTTTTAGCATTTTATGCCATACTATACTGTGACGTTTTTTGGCATTTTTCTGCTATACTATACTTAGATGTTTTTTGGTATTTTTATGCCTTACTATACTGTCTTGTTTGATGCGTGACCATACTATGACGTTTTTATGACTTTTTATGCCTTAATAGTCTATGATGTTTTTTTAGCATTTTATGCCATACTATACTGTGACGTTTTTTGGCATTTTTCTGCTATACTATACTTAGATGTTTTTTGGTATTTTTATGCCTTACTATACTGTCTTGTTTGATGCGTGACCATACTATGACGTTTTTATGACTTTTTATGCCTTAATAGTCTATGATGTTTTTTTAGCATTTTATGCCATACTATACTGTGACGTTTTTTGGCATTTTTCTGCTATACTATACTTAGATGTTTTTTGGTATTTTTATGCCTTACTATACTGTCTTGTTTGATGCGTGACCATACTATGACGTTTTTATGACTTTTTATGCCTTAATAGTCTATGATGTTTTTTTAGCATTTTATGCCATACTATACTTAGATTTTTTTTTGGCATTTTATGCCATACTATACTATGACGTTTTTGGCATGTTTCTGCCATACTATACTTCGATATTTTTTGGCAATTTTGTTTCTGCCATACTATACTTCGATATTTCTTGGCAATTTTATGCCTAACTATATTATTTCGTCTCATACCTTCACATACTATGACATTTTTATGATCTTTTATGCCTTAATATACTATGATGTTTTTTTGACATTTTATGCCGTACTATACTTCGATTTTTTTTGGTATTTTTATGCCTTACGATACTATGACGTTTTTATGACCTTTTATGCCTTAATATGGAATGATGTATTTTTGAGGTTTTCTGCTATACTAAACTATGACGTCTTTTGGCACTTTTCTGCCTAATTATATTATTTCGTCTCATGCCTTGCCATGCCATGACATTCATATGACCTTTTATGCCATACTATACTATGACGTTTTTAAGACATTTTTCATGACTTGTGTTCTGGCCGAGCTCTGAGCCCATAGCTAATAAGGAAAACATGGAAAACAAAGGAATTTTATTTAACAGACATTCTTGTTGTTCTTACAAAGATAACAAAAGAAACAGAAAATCAAGACTCCAACATAAGATCATGTGGTGCAAAGAGGGAGCCTCCTTAGTGGCAGGATGGGGAAGTCTTGTATAATCTAGGTGGAGGACAGTGGCCAACTGCCTTCACTTCCTCGATGGCCTCCAGCTCCACCCACCTAGGAACCTACATGAACACAGAACACAACGAAACACACACACAGGCTGTCACACTTACGATGGTAAAATATTTTTAGGACATTTTTTATGAAATTTTTGATGCTTTACTATTGAATTGAATTCAATTCTATTTGCATAGCACCAAATCATAATGTACATTATCTCATGGCACTTTACAAGGTACGGTCAAGACCTTATTTAATTCTAGAGAGAAACCCAACAGTTCCTAGAAAGAGCAAGCACTCGGCAACAGGAGTGAGGAAAAAACTCCTTTTTACCACTGACAGCAGTATACACTGTTGATTGTTAATTCTAACAGTGAAAATAAGAAGTTATACCAATAGGTAACAGGGTTATCATATCTGCTGTTAATTGTTATAGTGGAAATAATCATACTAATACCTATAGATACTAGTAGTAATGATGAGTGTTGTCATGGCAGATCTGGATCCTGCTCCTTCAAAAAAGAGATACCTGCAGAATGAGGACAGAGAAAGAGACACAGAGAGGAGAAGCACAAACTATGGGAGAGAAAAAATTGAAAATTGGTGACATGAAGTAATACGATATAAATGGAGAGAGACAGCTTTAGGACAGTTTTAAGCCTGATCTTAAATGTAGATATGGTCTCTGCCTCCCCACCCAGATAATAAAGAATTCTGCAGTCTAGTCTAGAGGTAACAAATGCATGGACTAGTTTTTCAGCAACCTTTTAGTGACAGGATGTTTCTAATTTTCATAATGTTGTGTAGGTGGAAGAAGGCTGTCCTAGAAACTTGTTTTATGTGTGAAGTAAAAGATGAGGTCAAAAATGACCCCAAGGTTTCTTACTATATATACATCCTCTGGATATATTAAGATATACGTTTATAACATATGAAATATTCAGTGAAATACAACAACATGCTTCTTAAAATTCTATATCTTTGTATGTGATTTGACATACAAAGATGATGTGACAGGCTTTGGGATGGATATATATTTATCTAACATATGTCTATAATATAAACAAACATACTAAAATACATGTTTCTATTAGCTAGACACCTGTCAATATATGATATTGTTCCAATTCCTAACAGGTTTTATATGTATTTTTTTACATATATAGGCTATACTTTAAATACATATCTTATATGTTACTAAACAGCTTGGTTGACAACATTTGAAAGTCAAGCTCTTTGTTTTGGAGGCGTGGCGGGGTTGTTGCATCCCTACAAATGTTGAGACCAAACCTACGCCCAACAAAATATGTATAAACATTATCGACAAATGTTGAGGTATGTCTTGGTATTGCACATGAGTCGATGACAGTGTGGGATGAATAACAGTTGGTTGATGATTATTGCAGTGTTCAGTGCATTAACGGCCTTGGGGAAGAAACTGTCTCTGAGTCTGGAGGTGTCTGTATCTGTGTGTGTTTGTGTTGTGCAGCCAAAGCGACCTGTGGCCTCAGTGCTGACCCTCCCGGCCCTCGCTGCCAGACCTCCACGGGTCCCCGTCATCCCCCGAGCTCCCTACATCAGCACCCCACCCACACATGGATACATCCCCCCAGGTGAGTCACAGATACATATATATATATACTGTATATATAGTAGAGAGATGTTTTCTTATGTAAGTTATAAGCAAAAGACGGGGGAGAGGGAAGCACATATGATTAAAAAACGAATTCTACCGTTTTATTCCATAAAAGTTTGCAGTAAAAAACAATTGATCACTGTTTCGCACTTGAGCAGCAATACAAGCTCGTGCTCATAAAGGCTGAACTGTCAGCTGTGACACCCTGTAGTTTTACTTTGGTAAAGGCTGGAGATTAACTGGAGAAATGTCAGTTTTGCTGGATTTATTATCTGAGAAGTCATCAGAGGGCTCCACATTCACAAGATCAGATAACTTTAAGAAGACGCAAATTTAGGGTTATTGGTTAGTTTTGATTGGTTATTAGCCTAAGGGTGAAGTTTAACAATTTAGTGTCTCAAGTATAAACCTGTTTTCACTTGGTCCTGTACAGACAGCTCACACTGGAGAAGCTGGAGGCTTAAAAAATTATTAAAATTACTGTTGAATTGGCACTAATCACTGCAGCTGCAGATGATGCACATAGAATCGTCTGTTTTCTGTTATCATACTTTGTCTTTCTCCTCTCAGGTTTTGGTGCTCCTTATGGCTACAGCCCTGCAGGCGCCCTCCCAGCCTACGGTAAGATCAATGTCCTCTCTAACTGATAAACAATAATCCATCCATTAAATCTTCATCGCTACATCCCAACATTTGAGTTCTTTTTTTTCCTTTTTCTTTGCTTTTCTTCAGGTTTTCCCTCCAGAATGCCCTCAGTAGTTGTCCCAGTCATCAGAGTCCCCACAGCATACCCCGTCACCAACCTCTACCCCTATTAGGACTGTCCCTCACCCACCTCACAGGAAGTCACTTGTTAAAGGAATATCCTGACTTTGACTGTGTGTTCACACTCCAACACTGACATTTTTTGGAAGCTTTTCATCAGTACCATTGTTGTGAACTATGTTCCCTCTGGGCTGCAGCAGCTAGATTAAATTGGCCATTACAAAGCTGTGCAGCAGCGTTATTAATTTACTTTGACAAATAAGCTCTTTGATCATCAAACCGTTATGCAAAGAAAAACTGAGTTCAGCATTCAGTGAGCTGCACTGTGTGAAAGACGGGTCAGGTAAATATTACACAGTAGGGAGCTGAACATCTCCTCGAAGTGATGGAAATCTACTATAGGGAACTAATTAACCACCTACAATACAAGACCCTCCAAACTTTAACTCCAACCACACAGCAACTTCTAAATATCTATGAGCAAATAAACAAACTCTGTTGGGAACTAGAAAAAAACAACTACATCATATCCATTGTAGGGAACTAAATAAATATCTTCTGTAAGGAGCTAAACATTATCTGTAGGGTACAAAGTACAAATCCACTGTAAGTAATTGACAATACTTTGTTTGGAACTAAAGAAACACCTGTCATATCCAGACTACTAAAATACAATCCAAGTAATTATAAAATGTAAGAAGCTAAATATGTTTTATGTACAGAATCTCAAACATTAAAATATTCACTGCAAAAGCTAATCATCCTCAGTGGGATCTAAGTAAAGATTCCTGGCAGGGAACTTACAAAAACAAACTACCATACACTATCAAAATATAGAAAGTAGGGAACTTAACATCTTCTGTAGGGAACTAAAGAAACATGTACTTTGGAAATATCTACCATACAACTCAACACACTGGATAGATAGCTGGATAGGTAGATAGTGAGTCTAGGGAACTTTAAAAACAGTTACTAAATATAAGATGCAGGAAATTGAATTAATATCCACTATAAGGAACCAAACATCCTCTTGTGGAATTAGAGCCAACTAAATATGCCCTGCAGGAAACTTACATAACCATTGTAGGAAACTAAAGAAACATGTACACAGAACGCTAAATACACAATGTAGTAAATTAGGGAACTTAATTGACAAGTTCTTTGTAGTTTGTCACTTCTGTAGGGAACTAAAGAAACAACTAACCATCTACAAACAATATATACAATGTAGGAACTAAAGAAATGTGTAACATTCACTATACTAAATACACAAAGTAGTAAATTAGGGAACTAAAGAAACAAACTAACCATATGCCAACAGCATATACAATGCAGGAAACTAATGCAAACCCACCATAGCAAAATAAAACCTGTCACTACAGGGAACTAAATACGCAGGTCAAAACTGATCAGAGAGCTTCTTTGACAAAATCTTACTTATTCCTTTAACAATCACTCATGGATGTGAACGTTGTTTTGTATCTTAATTTTTCTTTGTTTTCTAATGATGTTTTAAGATAAAGTAAAAAGAAAAACAGGTTTACAATAATCGGTTGCACTGAGACCTTTTCCTGTTGTTTGGATATTGAATGTCCGGGTTTACAGTCACTGTTGAGTATGAGCCATTTTGTGTTGAGTTAAATAACTTTCTTTTCAGAAAGATTTTATTTTGACCTGTTTGTAGGTAATATTCTTTTTAAATAAATGAATATTTTTGTCAACAGCTGAGTAACTTGTGGTTCGTAATGTTTGTTTTTTTATGATTTTTTTTTTTTCCTAACTGACACTTATATTCAGTTAACTTTTACAGTTAGTTAAACCTCTCTTGTAGATAACTCACCTTGATTTATTTCTGTTAAAAGTTATTTTACAATGTTCGTGGAGTATTAAAGGAGCTATTTGTAAGTTTTGCTGTTGCTACATAGCTAATGTTAGCATTAGCAGCTGGTTACTCACCAACAGCTGTCTCCAGAGGTGGAAAACAACACCAATGTTAACTCTATCATCATCTATCATGTCTTTTCCTCTACTTAAGTGGGCATGCTAACTGGCTAGCCTAATTAACCATCTCGTCACTTTTCAATAGTGACTCTCTGTAGCCTCCAATCTGCCCTGAAGACGTAGCGCTGCACAGAAGGCGTATTATAACCTCTTGCCTTGTAAACGCAATGATGGCCGAAGCTCCTATCAAGCAACAATCACCACTACACACTCAACAAGAAACCATGATCAGTGGCAGAGAAAAACGTACAAATAGCCCCTTTAAGTTTGTATCATATTTTACAGCCTGAATCACTGACATTAACTCCATTCCCCCTGTTAATTTATGTGCAGTGATTTCTTACCCACTCTCACTTATTATTTTTGTTTTTAAAATAAATCAACCTCATTCCTGATCCATAACCCCGGTACAGAAACACATCAACACACTCTCTTGAAGCTCTTGAAGGATAACTGCTCATTATTTCTAACAATAGCTGTAATAATGTTGTACTCACCAAATGAGTCCAGAAACCCAAGCAGTCAGACGATCAGACGGGACAAAGTCAAACTGCAGCTCTGGAGGAGAAAACAGAGGCGGGATGGTGAAGATCATCACAGTTTACACACCAACTTCCAAGTTCAACTTTAACCTAACATACTTACGCAAGCTGTGCACAGTGTTCCTGTGCAGTTAGGGGATTCTCTCTGTCAGTTTGAACTCCATATACAGTGGTTTAGATACTGACTTGTTTTGAAACTTTCTCTATATGACTTCTTAGTGATGTCACCATACTTCCAGATCTCAGTTACTTTGGTGAAGTCAGTGTTATTGTTACTAAACCAAAACCATCCCTGAAGTTAATGCTGTTCCCGCCTCTTTCACATGCACTCAGGTAACCGGGTTATAGATTGCTTTTCTGCAGAAACACGATTTATGAAACATGATGTAAACCAGAAGTCCAACCTTTAACAGTTAACATCTGAACTGAGCAACTAAAAACAACATGTGGGGAGTGGGAAACAGCATCATGTATCAGTAACACAGTTAAAATGAGTCGCTGTGGTTCCAAGAAAATCTGATTATTCATCAGATGTAAACACATCGTCTGCTTTCCTGTGTAACCTGAGTATCTTGAGTTCCAGTGAGCACCGACATGTACCACAGAGAAATAACTTAGTGGTTCTGCTGCAGCTCCTGTTGTCCTTGACAGAGGCTGCACTAAATCTACTTACCCCCCACCCCGACCTTTAAGAATCCTGGAGCTGCTAGACCTTCGATGGAGGATGTAATCTGCTCTCTAATTAGCCTTCAGTGATCATGTGGTTGAAGCTCTCCCTCCACGGTTAAGAAATACTAACTGCTAATGATTTGTGCTGCTGTTAACCCGGCTGTTGTGTCTCCTGTCTGTAGGTGGCCTGTACATCGACAGTGCCTATTACCAGCCGCAGACCATAGCCACACCTATAATCATCCACCTGGGCCCTCAAGATCTTTTCTGACCCCGATGATGTACCGAGACCACATCCGGCAACAGACTCGACCTCCTGTTTAATCCCTCACCCTTATTAAACTCTGTCAGCGCCTCTCAATTACTGCAGCACTGCTCCCCTCCCCTCCCCTCCCCCGGGTTTCTCCTTCCACACGAGACAAAGCAGCAATATTGAAAGCAATATGGAAGAGAAAACCCCTCGGGCGACGCTCCTGCCGAGTCCGGGTCGGGTTTAAGAGAGGACGAGGCCGCAGCCGAGCCTTTGTTTTACCCAGCTCGCTCAGAAAACGTCAATAAAACACAAAGCAATACTTCTTCTGCCTTCGGGAATCTCAACGTGTTCCAGAGCGACTTGACTCGAGTCTCAAACGCTGTTTCAGACGATCACACGACAATGTGAGCTACTGTATGTAAATACTATATTTACTACACTGTATATATGGATGTTTGTGAGTTTTGAATATATATATAAACATGTTAATATGTTTGAATATGTAAAACCCCCTGACGGGTAAAGAAACATATTTATAATCTATCTCTGAATGTAAATACAGTAGTGACTGAAGTAGCTTTGTACTGAAAGCACTCTCAGATATGATATCTATAAATATTAAGAGTTAAATACATTTTACAAATTGTCTATAACAATGTCTACAACACTGTATTGGTATGTTGATGGTATATAATCCCAAATTAAACATTATTGCATATAGTAGACTTAAGTAGTAATTTTCCAATCCAAAGCATCAAGATTAAAATAAGTAATTTGACAAAAACTAATTTATAAACGATTTTAAATCATGTTAAAAAGGACGTTTGTCATCATCTGTTCTCTGCTGTTACACATCAGTGTGGGAGGGGTCACAAGATGATTAACAGAATATTTCTGCTACACAAAATCATTTTTCACACTTTCTTCCAATGGGTTTTTTTTTTCCAACTGGATCATTTTACCTGGAAAATTATTCAAATATAAGAAGGAAAAAAAAAAAATCCCTCTTTAGTTGTAGTAGTTTTAGTACCTGGAATACGTCGGGAAACACTGGTTGAAACAGTTGTATTTGTTCCTGGAAGACAAGGCGCAGGGCTTTAGAAACGTGTTAGCAGTCGAACATGATAACTTTCCTCATATTTACAGCTTTTATTCGCCTCTATTCCTTTATTATGATATATGTCAAGATATAAAGCTTCAGCACATCCCTGACAAATGATTTGATTTAAAGAAGGATAAAGTTTCATGAGGCAGAACCACATGTAACGACCCGTCCAGATGTTTCCGCTGCGTTATTCCTCGCTGCTGGCACAAGTGTCCAAAGCAATATTCAACTCAGGAACCACAGGAATGCAAACTTAATCTGATTATGACAACTGACAGAAATGCTTCTGCGCTTTGACCTGCAAGCTTTGACAGGATGTGAACGCCACTGTAACATCCCGTAATGTTTAAATGGCGATGGATGTCTTGTGGCTGAGATCAGAAGTCTCAGTGAGGGGAGAGTGTCGGGTCAGATTAAGGTCCTGTACATCAAGGACATGACCTCTGACAGTACGGAAGTTCATTAATGACGAAAAGTGCACGAAAAGTACAAATTTTTTGCTGTAATTTATCTGCAACAAGATTCTGTGATTTGACAAACTAACCTCAGTCTTTTTAAAAATGAATCCCCTTTTCCACTGGTCAGAAAACTCGCTAAGACTCGCCAACATCAGGCTTTTGTCAGCAAATGTAAAAGGGAACAATCAGTATTCACACCCGGGTCAAATGACTCTGCAGCAGACGTGGGTATTTTATTGGCTCCAATCGACATTGACGTAAACACAACAACCTTTCCGATTCACTCAGCTGACCTGCAGCTGTGGCGTAACACAGTGGAGGAACAGCGGTTGAAAAATGTAGTGCCAACGGAAAGTGCTGTTTTCACGGGAAGATGAGGCGCTGAAATATTCTACATGAAGCGCACATTTAAACGGATATTGGATTTTGACAAAGACATAAACCACTGAAAAATAAGCAAATGTGGAACCTCTGAAGATTCGTATTTTTTCCTCGTTGTCGATCAATTTTCGGTCAATTGACTAATCAAGTATCAGATCTAAAAACACTGAGCTTCTGCTCTGAATTTAACAAACTGTTTCTGCCGCTCTTTAGTCTTGATTAACCGCTCAGATATGTTTAGTTCTTGCAGGTTTTGTCGTTTCTGAACTTCCATACCAACAGCTCTGTACAGCTCCGTCAGTTTGATCTGATCCGTCTGAAATCAGGATTCTTGTCTTTACTGTGTGAAATCAGAAATGCTTTTCTGATTCGTAACAGTCATGCAAAGGATTGCAAATTAAAAAAAAAAAAAAGAAAGAAGAAAAAGAGGCAAAACGCAAGTTTGAGAAGTGTGTGTGTGTGTGTGTGTGTGTGTGTGTGGTGTTTGTTCCTAACCTCGTCTTCATCCGGGTGGGTGTTCCTCCAGTCACGCTCGGCTGCTGCAGAGCTAATTACATCTGAGCTAACAGAGAGAGAGAGAGAGAGAGAGAGAGAGAGAGAGAGAAGAGAGAGAGAGAGAGAGAGAGAGAGAGAGAGAGAGAGATGTCTGATTACACACGGCCACAATCCAATAACAGCCCAAAACAAGACCTTTTAAACCAGCTGTTTGTACAAGAGGAAACGTCTGTTTGTGACTCTGCAGGACGTCCTTTTGTCTCCACTCTCACTGACGTTCCTCAAACGCCACCTCGGTGCTACACGACATGTATGAACATCACATCACAGGAGACTAAAGACACACTCCACATTTTTATTTCCCACCCCCCACCACTGATTGTCTAGGTAACGTCCAGGTTATTTTTCCTGCCAGCGGAGGAAAATAAAAACTGTCCATCAGTCAGAGTGATGATGTTTCTACCTGTTGGTTTATGACTGGAATATTTATTTCTGTCTATCAAATAAACCTTCACTTCTCCTAAAGGCAGCAATGTGTTTGGGCCTGAATATTGTTTTTTCTGTATCGCCTCAGTCGCCTGTAATCATGTCTTCACTGTCAGGTGACAAGCTGGAGTTCTCAGGGATTTACACAGATGAAATGACTAAAAAATCCCAAACATTTTATTTATTTATTTTTATTTATTTATTTATTACATTTTTATAACACCTGAGTGTGGTGAATCCTAAAATCTTCTATTCCTGCTTTAAATGCTCAGCAGCTGACGTGTGAGGACACAAGGTTCTCACACGTCAATAGTAACATTACTTTAATCTACAGTTTCCATCTGCACCAGAGAGGTCACAGGTCAGGGTCTTCTGGAGCGACTGTTAATAACATCAAGCATCAGTCAATGAGTAGGTCAAAGGACATGTGAGCAAAAAAAGTCTAAACGTTCATTCCCAACATCTAAACTCAAGGTCCACTTAGTCTGGACTCAGAACAAAGTGGCAATTAGCTTAAATTAATTGATTTAAGATAATTGGTATCAGAGCCAAAGATAGGTGCCTGAGCTGATTTATTATCAGTATCGCTCTAGCATGGTTTGTCCACCAGAGAGCGCTGTGACTTAGCGTACCAGTCAGTAATCATCTACCACTGGACGCTCCTTCAGTGTGTCATCTTCATCCCATCCCCTCCCGCACTGGAGTGCCCCAAGGATCGGTGCTGGGACCCCTCCACAACCTCAGGAAAACCCAGTACACCACCCAGCTCCTGGTCCTGGCCGTGGTTCTCTCCCTTCACACAGTGAAACCCTGACAGATGTCCCAGAATGCAGCTGGTCTTCCATCAGTCCCTCTCTATCTTCAAAAAGACTCCTCTCATCAAAAATCTTTGTGTTACTGTTAAAAAATGAATATCTGCTGATGAATCGTCATGTGATTTTTTTTTAAACCCTCATATCGACATGAGCATCCGCCTTAAAAACCCTGTATCTGTCTTATCTCCAACATCCTGCCACAAATTTCATATCTTTAAAAAGATTTAGATGAAACTGATTCCACTCTCTGAATGACAGCTGCTTAGCTCAGCTTAGCATAGCATAGCACAAAGGTTTCAAACAGGCAGAAACAGCCAGAGGAAACTAAATCCAGCCACAATACTAACACCTGTAAAAGTATCAGCTTATATCTCATTTTGTTTTATCCGTAAAACAAAAGATTTCTTAAAACATGAAGCTAAATTAATGAAAATAATTCATGACGACAAATTTGAACAAATCTTTATCAAACTGAGCTGCTGCCTGTTAAATGACTGTGATGCAGCTGCAGCTTTTACAGCGTTTCATGAGCCTCGAAGGTTTTTTTTTTTTTGTCCGTTAACAGCAGAACATGTTGTTGAAAAGCAGTCGGACACAAATCAGCAGTTTCCCAGTGGCAGCGCTGGAACAGACACAGAGGGTCATCAACTGCTGTCAGCCACAGAAGCCCCCACCCCCACCCCACCCAGGGTCCCCCTGCTGCTGACCTGTGATGACACCCTGCAGCTCGGTGGCATCAGGCCTGCAGACGGAGACCTGACACCGTCCTTCACTGCAAATATGAGTCAGCAAAAAGCTGAAAAACAAACAAGACTTCGGTCTGCCGCTTCGTTTCAAGACTCAAATAAGTTACACAAACTTTCCTCACCCTGTCGACAGAGTTGTTCTGTCTCGTTTGGAAAGGAACAGAGACAGTAGGACGCCTGTGCGTGAGATGAAATCAGGGATAAGGATGTGTTGTGTTTTTTTTTGAGAGGCGGGAGCGAGCGCAGACAGCGAGGACGTATCAGATGGAGGTCCAGATCCTGTCGGTATTTTTAGCTGCGAGAGAGGAGCCAGGAGGTGTTGGATTACGCAACGTGGGCACATGCCACCCTCACTGATGGCAGTTTGTCATCTTATATCAGCACTCGGGACCATGATGCATTGCAGTGTAGACACACTCAAGCTGCAGTTTAGTCACCTTTTAAGACCGACACAGAAACACCTCTGACATCAGCAGCACAGTGACGCTGTGGAGATGGAGACGTACGGCGGCCATGACAGGCAGAAATGTCTTTTTATATCTAAGTATGTGATAATAAATTCACAAGATTGCTGTTATCACTCTCTGTGTCTTATATCACCCTTCACTAAATCTATCACTCTTTTTTCGTGACATGAGTAGAGTCTTTCTTTTGCACATATTTTTGCATAAATTAAACAAAATTAACTTCAAACTATATTAATGTTTTTGCTTATTTAAGATGACTCAGTTCATATCAAACCTTATTTTCACAGAATTAAACCCAAAGTTTTTATTTTCCTTCTTATCATTAATTATTTATCTTATAGTTTGACTTTATTTACTATTATTTACTGCATAATATTGGTATATATGTCTCACACACAATGATTTTAATCTGAGAAACAGAAGCAACAAATGAAGAGTTTCATTTCTGATTTAAGTTTAGCAGTAAATGTATGTTTGTGAATTAAAATATTAATATATCATAATGGACTGAATGGAAAACATCTGGAAAACATCTGGAAAACAAAGAAGAGGACAGGAAATTCACTAAACGGTGAGTTTACGTTGTGTTGAAAACAAGCCTTGACATTCAGTGAAAATAAACTGTTATACTACAGCAGCAAACAGCTGTTTTCAGGGGTCAGAGGTCAAAAAGACAAATGGGAAGATTGAGCCAATGATAACTCTACATGATTCCACAAACAGGAAGTGGGAGGTGGAGCTGTCAGCAGAGGAGCAGAGGATCTGTGGTGTGGTCACAGCCTCCTCTGCTGGTGGAGCCGTGTTTTCTTTAAGGCTGATATCAGATATCCAGCACCAAGGTACTCTTTGTACCTTTTCCTGTTCTGCCACCTTCTTTTTCCAGCAGGAGTCGTAACAGCATCAGAGAAAGAGAACAAGTGTAAAAGAAAGAGGAAAGAAGGGAGGATTACAGAAAGGAAAAGAGGACACGTGAAGGAGGGACAACAACATAAGCAAAATCAGAGTGAGGATGGGACAGAGAAGAAAGAGGGAAATGCCAAAGGAAACAAAGAAGGAATAAAAGATGAAAGGAGAAAAGTGAGGAAAGAAGAAAGGACAGAAGACAAATTCAAAGTAGAGGAAGGAAGCTGATAAATAAAGGTTTTATGAAGCAGTAAAGAAGAGGAAGAAGGAAAATGAAGGTGAGTTAAGAAGGAAAAAAAGAATAGCAAGTAAAAAGTAAAGAAGGAAAGAAAACAACGTGGAAAAGGAAGATGGAAAGAAAACGGAGGAATGAAGAAAAGAGAGGAAACGAAAAATGTTGCAAAATGCAAAAATAAATGAAGAGAGAGAAAATGAAAGAGTGGGAGGAACAGAAACAGGAAGAAGGAGGGAAATTAAAAGTAAGACAGGAAAGACTGGAGCTAAGAAGGAAATAAAGATGACGTGTGACGCTCTGACAGAAACTCTCTCCTCATCTCTCCAGCAGATCTCACATTCAACCACTAGATGGCAGCAAACGTCTCCGACTCTGCGGCTGAACTGAGATCAGCTGCAGCAGCAGAAACACTGGCTGCTTTGTCTCCCTCCATCACTGAGGATGTACATCTCTGAAACACACACACACACACACACACACACACACACACACACACACACACACACACACACACACACACACACACACACACACACACACACACTTCTTTGGGTCACACACACACACACACACACACACAAGTCGTGTTATTGTCTCCGCTCCTCGTCCTCACAGGGTGTTTTCGTCTTATTTTGATCAGCGCCTCAGTGCATCAGGCCGCCGCGCTCCGACCGCAGCCTCTCCAGAAAGGTACAGAGTGTTTTAACCACCAGCAGTAAACAGCTCTGCATGTTCATCACGAGGAAGCTCCCAAATCCAAACCTGATGAAGATTTCTTCTCCCGCACAGTTTTTGTATTTTCTTGCAAATATAATAAATCACATCTGAAGCGATCAAAATCTAAACTTCAGGAGCTGTTTCTGAAGAAAAAAATAAAAGATAAAACAATAAAAACAAGGAAACTAAGCCGTAAGAACTTTTTCCTGCTACGTTTTTCTTTTTGTTAATGGAGTCACGAGTGGCGCATAAGAACTACTGAAGCAGCAACTTATTGATTATAAATCCACACTGATTTCTGCTGATGTCTCCTGCTCCACAAGGAGTATCAAAACAAAACAGCCTTGTTTTTATTCATTTATCTTTTTTTTTCCCTGTGCACTGTAGCTCTACATGTCCACATTGGTTATATAGATACAGGCTGGAGGCTCACTACTACAGATACGAAGTGCAGAGAGGTGGAGAGAGAGTCTGTTACCATAACAACAAAGAAAAGGAAACAAGAGGAACTGACAAACAAAAGATCCACAAGGCCGAACACAAACACATCCCAACACTCCTACAACATACACACAGCAGGAGGTGTGTGGCATTTAAATGACGGCAGAAAACCACACCTCACTGAACACACCAGAGAAAAGATACAGACTTTCTGCTTCATGAGACACACGACAGACACACGACAGACAGACAGATGACAGACGACAGACAGACAGACGATAGAAAGACGACAGACAGACAGATGACAGACGACAGACACAGACGATAGAAAGACGACAGACAGACGGACAGACAGACAGACAGACGACAGACAGACGACAGACAGATGACAGACAGACACACGACAGACAGATGACAGACAGACAGACGACAGACAGACAGACGACAGACAGATGACAGACAGACGACAGACAGATGACAGACGACAGACAGACAGACAGACAGACAGACGATAGAAAGACGACAGACAGACGGACAGACAGACAGACAGACAGACAGACAGATGACAGACGACAGACAGACAGACAGACAGACAGACGATAGAAAGACGACAGA